TTTGCAACCCCGAACTAGATTATAAATGAACCCTACTGTTTGATCAGGAAATGTGGTTCTGTGTGATGTGGGCTCGATGTTGTGGCACACGAATAGCCATAGAATGGCTATGGACGGTGTAAGCTCTATCTGATGCCACTTAGTGATCGCTAGGGACCATGCATGTTCCCTTCCAACAAAACCTTAGCTACTTCAGGCCAGTTGAATTCGGTGGGGATGGGAACCACATTCTCCATGTTCAACTGATAATAATCATGGATAACCTCCAGGGAAAATATAATCCATTTCCCTCGCACCCATGTCTGATGTATGTGCTCTGAACCTGGAGTATCGATTTCACTGTTGAAATTTGCATAGAATTCTCGGACCAAATTCTTATAAACTGGGTGAGGTCTATCTACCACTTTTTCCCAACCACAAATATGGACCAAATTCACCAATTCAAACCTTGGGAAATCTTCAAGTTTAACCGGTCTTTCAGGGTTCATTGTCCAATAGCGTATGATGTTTTCATACCAGGCAATGGTTTTGGCATTGATGAACCTCTGTAAATTCCCTTCGAGCTCCCTAGTTCTTGCAGTTCCGGAGGATGAACCGACTTTTTCTTTGCCCTTTGAAGTTCTTTTTGGAGGCATCCTGCAAAAAGAAGATTTCAAATGTCAAAACCATAGAATGCAATGAAAAAGGCATGTCAAAAACACGAAAGGTGATTATAGATGCACGAATCCCCCAAACTTACTCCTAGATGCATGAGTAACACCTTGGTGTGCAATATTCAAGATATAATGTTCAAGAAAGCATAAATATTGCGCCTATATGAGAAACTAAGAGAATTAGGCCTAAACATGCACATTATAAAAATTGGACCCATAACCGAGTGCACACCTTCGACCCCAGGCATCGTCGAGAATTATCGAAATTTTCCCGAGTAATCTCTAGGCATGTGGAAGTATTCAATGAGGTCTAGCACATACTCAAATCTCAAATCAATTGGACTTCGTTTGATGTGCCAAATTATGGTGCAAAGTAGAGGACGTAGGGTGTCGTGACTTGTCGTGACCTAGCCATGTGCCTATGTGTTGCAATATGGATATGGATGTTTTCTAGGTCAATTGATGTGGGAATTCATCACAATTTGTTGGCCACCAGGTTTATTAATCATTACTCATGCAAAAAGCAACTAATTTCACACAAATTTTTATTGAGGCATTTCATCAAACACATTATGAGCAATTTAAAGGTCTTCACAAATTAGGTATAACAAGCCTTCTAAACTAGCTTCCATTTGTCACATATCAATCTCATTCATAATGTAACATTCAGTTCTTTAGCAATATTAAAACTTAAGGCAAATCAAATCTCCAAATTCAAAATTTATAAAGTGGGATATAGGGCACTTACCTTCCATTTTTGCAACAAAATGGGAGCATGGAAATCTTTAATCACTCCAATGAATGATAAGGTGATGATTTGTGTTTGATTTTTGTGATGTTGCCATATGTTGAGGGTTTGGAAGAGGTGTGCGTGTGTTGGGCGAGAGGGAGATGAATGGTGGAGAGTGGAATTTTATGGTGGAGTTATGGATTAAGAACCCGTAAGTGATACTACCATGCGGCCGCATGGTGTTAACCCATGCGGTTGCATGGCTTTGAAACATTTTTTCTGGTTTTCAGTCAGTGTACATGCGGTGGTATGGACACTTAGTCTATGCGGTCACATAGACTTTTTTTTTAATTATTATAAATAAAACTAAACAAAATAAAATACAAACATTGATTGCCCTTCCCAAAAAAAAAAAAAGACCTCAGCCAATTGAAATGCGTGAATTATACCCCCAATCACCCAAAACCATTTCAAGCTTATCGAACATGTGTTCGATGCCTAGGAGTTTATGTGAACGATGCTTAGACTCTATTGACATGCATGGATGATCGATGATCTAAAACAAAAAATTCAAACGTGAATGTTTCCTAAGCTAATGCAAACGGCGATTAAACAAAATAAAGGATATAGTGGGTTGCCTCCCACTCAGCGCTATTTATAGTTCATAGCTTGACTCTTCCACTTCTGCTTCAGTTAGGCGTTCCGAGTTGGACGGTGGACTTTGTTTTGAGAAATTCCCGCCCCAGTAATGTTTTAGCCTTTGCCCATTAGTTGTGAATGTTCCTTTTGTTTCATGGATAACCTGTATACCTCCATATGGCAGAACTTTAGTGACAGTGTAGTGGCCCGACCATCTTGAACTTAATTTTCTAGGGAAAAGCTTGAGCCTCGAGTTATATAACAGGACCTTCTGCCCTACCTCGAAATCTCGTCTCTGAATGTATAGATCATGCCACCTTTTGGTGCGTTCCTTGATAAGTTTCGAGTTTTCATATGCTTCCATTCTTAATTCATCTAATTCATTTAACTGCAATAAACGCTTTTCACCGGCGGCCTTCAAATCCATGTTCAACTGTTTCATAGCCCAATATGCTCGGTGTTTTATTTCCAATGGAAGGTGGCACGCTTTTCCAAAGACTAGACGGAATGGAGACATGCCTATTGGTGTCTTGAATGCTGTCCTATATGCCCACAATGCATTGTCCAACTTTTTTTACCAGTCTTTTCGGGCTGAGTTTACTGTAACTTCTAATATTCTCTTCAGCTGCCAATTGGACACTTCGACTTGCTCGCAGGTTTGTGGATGATATGGGTTTGCAACTCGGTGTTTAACCCCATATTTACTCAATAATTGCTCAAATTGGCGATTGCAAAAAATGTTTGCCTCCATCACTGATTATTTCCCGCGGTGTGCCTTATCTGGTGAAAATGTATTTTTTCAAGAACCTAATTACCATTTTCGCGTCGTTCATTGGCAATGTAACTGCCTCCACCCATTTTGACACATAATCAACTGTTACTAGGATGTACTGATTTGAAAATGATGGGGAAAACGGTCCCATAAAATCAATTCCCCAAACGTTAAATATCTCTACTTCCAATATGCTATTCAGTGACATCTCATACCTTCTTGAGATGTTCCCAGTACGTTGACATCTATCGCACCTCTTAACATATTCAAAGGTGTCTCTGAACAATGTAGGCCAATAGAACCCTGACTGTAAAATCTTAGCTGCAGTCTTTGAAGCCCCCATATGTCCCACATAAGGAGATGAATGAAAATGCTCAAGAATTTCATGTACTTCATCTTCAGGTATACACCTTCTCACAATCTGATCAGCCCCTCGCCTATAAAGAATAGGATCTTCCCAAAAATAATATTTCAGCTCGACAAAGAACTTCTTCTTCTAGTAACTTGAGTAATCTAGTGGTGGGACTGACCTAGCCAAATAATTGACGATGTCTGCATACCATGGGGCTTTTTCTGCACTGAACATTTGCTCATCTGGAAAAATTTCATTGATTTCCATTGACGTTCCTGGCTCTTCTTGTTCTAATCTCGATAGGTGATCTGCTATTACATTTTCACTGCTCTTCTTGTCCCTAATTTCAATATTGAATTCTTGCAACAACAATACCCAACGGATTAACCTCGGCTTGGCATCCCTCTTTGTCATTAGATACTTTGAGACAGCGTAATCTTTGTAGACTATGACCTTAGATCCCACGAGATATGATCTAAATTTGTCAAAGGTGTATACCACCGCCAAGAGCTCCTTCTCAGTGGTCGCGTAGTTAATCTGGGCATCATTTAATGTTTGGCTTGCGTAATATATTACATGAAAAATCTTGTTCTTTCGCTGCCCCAATACTATACCTACGACATGATCACTAACATCGCACATTAACTCGAAAGGCAACTCCCAATCAGGTGCTACAATTACTGGTGCTGACGTGAGTTTCTCCTTCAAAGTGTTGAAAGCTTTCAGACATTCCTCATTAAATTTGAAGGGCGCGTCTTTCATTAACAGGTTGTAGAGAGGCTTGGTGATTTTTGAAAAACCTTTTATGAATCTCAGTTAGAATCCAGCATGTCCCAAAAAGCTACGAACCCCTTTAACTGATGTTGGTGGTGGCAATTTTTCAATAACTTGAAACTTTGCTTTGTCCACTTCAATTCCTTTTGTTGAGACTCGATGCCCAAGTACGATCCCCTCTTGCACCATGAAGTGGCATTTTTCCCAGTTTAATACTAAATTGGTTTCCCTGCATCTTTGTAATACCAGATTCAAGTGTTTCAAACACTCGTCAAACGAAGACCCGAAGATCGAGAAGTCATCCATAAATATCTCAATAAATTTTTCTAACATGTCTAAGAATTGCCATCATATAATGTTGAAAAGTGGCAGGGGCATTGCAAAGGTCGAAAGACATCCTATGGTATGCAAAAGTACCTAAGGGCACGTGAATGTAATTTTCTCTTGATCGTCTAGTGCCACTAGTATCTGATTGTAACCCGAATACCCATCGAAGAAGTAGTAATGTGAGTGGCCTGCCAATCTCTCCAGCATTTGGTCTATAAACGGAAGGGAAAAGTGATCTTTCCTTGTTGCTACATTGAGTTTGCGATAATCAATGCAAACTCTCTATCCTGTGACTGTTCTGGTTGGTATCAACTCATTCTTCTCATTGGGCACTATCGTTATTCCTCCTTTCTTTGGCACCACTTGAACTGGGCTAGTTCATGCACTATCTGATATCGGATATATGATTCCAACGTCAAGAAGTTTGAGTACCTCTGCTCTGACCACTTTTTTCATATTTGGGTTCAACCTTCGCTGACTTTCTATAGTTGGCCAGAAATTCTCTTCCATGAGAATCTTATGCATGCACAGTGTGGGGTTGATCCCTTTGATATATGCTACAATCCATCTAATTGCTGTCTTATTCTCCCTGAGCACCCTAAGCAGCTTCTCTTCTTCCACTTCGCTGACTTTGTTTGAAATGATCACAGGGAGTGTACAGGATTCCGCCAAGTAAGCATATTTGAGGTGTGGTGGTAACTACTTGAGTTCTAATTTCGGTGGTTGCTGAATAGATAGTAGTGGTTTCGTAGGTCATGTTCCAAGCTCCTCAAAATGCCTTTTGCGCGTATAAGGTAGGTTGGTCTCTAGAAACCTTACATAAGTCTCCATCTCCATTGAATCAGACTGTGTTGACTGCGAATGTGCAATGCAAACTACATATGCATCTGATGGGTTGTGTAGCAAAAAGGAGTCTTGGATCACCATATCAATCACATCGATTTGGAAACAGCTGTCTGTCTCTGTAGGTAGTTTCAATGCCTTGAAAACATTAAACGAGATCTGCTCTTCTCCCAATCTCAATATCAGTTGCCCGTGCTGAACGTCGATCAAGGCTCTTTCTGTTGCCAAAAATGGTCTACCCAGTATCAATGGAATATCCTTGTCTTCTTCCATGTCCAAGATTAGAAAATCCGTAGGGAATATGAGTTTTTCCACCTGGACAAGCACATATTCAATTATTTCCCTGGGATGTGTTAACGATCTGTTAGCCAGCTGCAGCATTACAGTAGTCGCCTTAGCCTCTCCTAAGCCAAGTTTCCTGAAAACTGATAGAGACATTAAATTAATACTTGCACCAAGATCACATAAAAGCTTTATCAAAATGAACTTCACCAATAGTGCAAGGAACAGTAAAACTCCCTGGATCTTTCAATTTCGGTGGGAGCTTTTTTTGAATTTTGGCGCTGCATTCCTCTGTTAGCATTACTGTTTCATGATCCCCTAGCTTGCGTTTATTTGATAGTATGTCCTTTAGGAACTTTGCATAGCTAGGCATCTGGAATAATGTATCGGCGAGTGGGATATTGATGTGGAGTTTCTTAAAAACTTCAAGAAATTTCTTGTATTGCTACTCTAACTTCTGCTTTTTCAGCCTCTGTGGAAAAGGTATGGGAGGTTCGTGAGGGTTAACAATTTCTTTACTCTGTGTTTTGTCCAGTTTTTCAGTTGGGGTGGATTCCTCCATCTGTTCATCATGCTCTATAGGTTCTTCTATAGTTGGAGATTCTATTTCTTGATTTACACCTGGCCTTTTTACATGGATTTCTGGTAGCTGCTTTCCAGTTCGAGTTGTAATTGTCTTAGCATACTCCTTTGGGTTTATTTTCGTGTTACTTGGCAAGTTTCCCGGTGCTCTGCCAGTCAATGCTATGGCTAATTGTCCCACCCGAGTTTTAAAATTTTTGATAACTACATTTTGGTTCTGAAGTATAGCTTCAGCCTTCTCCATGAATTTTCCTATCATTTCTTCCAACTGAGGTTTCTTCTCTTGATGTTGAAATTGTCCCTGTGGCTTGTTTTGATTCTGGTTGTTCCAAGAGAAGTTAGGATGCTTCTTCCAACTCGGATTAAATGTTTCTCCGTATGTGTTGTTTTGTTGCCGCTGTCCCCATTTAGCAAAATCTACCTGCTCTACTCCTTGTACCAAGATTGGACATTCTGCTGTTACATGCTCAACTCCACATTCTTCACAACTGGCCTTTTTCGACTATGCTACGGTAGCTGATTGTGTCATGTTTTCTACCTTGTGAAATAATGAATCAATTTTTGCTGACAAGGCAGAATAGACATCCACTTCATAAACCCCCGGTGTCTTCTTCTAAACTGCTCGTTCCGATGTCCACATAGCTGAAGTGGTGACCATGGTCTCAAAAAGTTTCAGTGCCTTATCAATTATCTTTGTGGATAATCATTCGTTTGATGACAAGTCAACCATGCTTTTGAAGGCTGTGAGTAATCCTGCATAGAAGTATTGGATCTGAAGTCCCTTGCTAATCCCATAGTGTGAACACTTTCGCAGTATATTCTTGAACCAATTCCAGGCTTCATCGAAATTTTTCGAGTCGCCTTGGCGAACAACAGAGATGTCGTGCTTGAGCTTTACAATCTTAGCAGGTGGGAAGAACTTAGTACAGAATTTTTGGGTTAGATCATTCCATGTGGTGATGCTTGCAATTGGTTGTGAATCCAGCCATTCAATTGCCTTGCCGCGCAGTGTATGTGGGAATAACCTTAATCTTATTGCATCGTCTAAAATTCCTTGATATCTGAAGTGTTGGCATATCTCCAAAAAATGAAAAAACATGCGTGTGTGGATTCTCTTCTGTCCTTCCATAGAATTGATGACCATTTTGAAATAGTTGTATCACATTAGTCTTCAGTTGGAAGTTCGACTGTCCAAACGGCGGATATACGATGCTTGACTGGCTTTGAATTATCTGAGGGGTCATGAAATCTCCCACGAGCATATTCCCTTCCTCCGCTGCCCCTTCTTCATTGGCCTGAAAAATTGGATTATTCTGCACGTTAGCCATTCGTTGATGTGCCTCTCTGTTTTCTCGCTGCCTTCGATGAAAAGTTCGTTCTATTTCTGGATCAGCTGGTGTCAATTCTCCTTCAGCAGATCTTAGCATGCAAATCCGCGAGAAGAGTTAATAGGAGTGCTTAGATGTTAAAATGAAATAATAACTAGAATAAACCAAAATGAAATTAATTGAAATAAAACACAACAAAATAACAGAAAATGTAAATATGGATGTCCGAATTAGTGCCAATTTAGATAAAATTAAATGAATACTCAATTCCCGAAAACGGTGCCAAAAACTTGTTCACTAAATATTTTCTTTCGTTTTAAATCATCGCAATTGTACGGTTCATTAACAAGTAATAAAGTGGATTTTTAGAGTCCAAATATCGTCCCATAGAGATTGAGTAGGTCAATTTTACCTAGTGTAGCCTTACCCGAAACAAAATTACTCAATATGAATATTTACTTAAATAACCCTAATTTTAGAAAGAAAACCCTAATTTTATGAAAACCCTAATTATGCAAAATTGAAGATTGGAATGAATTCAAGTATGCAAAATGATATTTTAATGAATTAAAATGCAAATTATATGTTAGAGTGCGAATTGGCTGTATACAATGGAAATTAAAAACACAAGAATCACGATTTCCCATGCAGTTATCACTTTAAACCCTAATTTCACAATGTGACAACACACTTAAATTATTGACGAATCAATGCTCCTAATCTATCTAATACTCTCTCTCAAGATGTATCGAACCTATTTTTTACATATCATCGGCCTATATTTCTATGACAGGTGCATATATAAAAATGCATGCGGTCTTGTGAACACTTAAAAATTCACGTAGGGCATAGCGGTATATTTCTATCCTCTATCGGACCCTACGATGATTTATATTATGTCGAACCTATTCCAATTCTCTTGAATGTAAGAATAAGCCACCTAAACTCACACAATTACGGGCCCTTAATTGCGGGAACAAAAATGGCATATAAATCATTCAAAATAATCAAAACGTGTTTTTAATGTCAAATTGTAAAACTAGAAAATCAAAGATCAAATAACATGGTACATCGATCTCCTAGTACATGAAAATCTAGCATAGCATTGATAAACTATAAGAATACATCAGATTTTGAAGAAAGAACATCACCGGATTATGAATACTTGATAAATCTTGAAAATCCTCGTGCAATTCTTCGTTACTTGCGCTCAAAATCCTCTCCAATATGTGGTTTCTTGCCTCCCAATGCATTCTGTCCCGAAATATGAGGGCTCTAGGTTTTTATATCGCATCCCAATCGAGTTCCAAAAGAATTATAACACAAAAAAAGAAACTACAGAATCGCGGCATAATTTTACACCATGCGACCGCATGGTGTTAATCCATGCGGTCGCATGGCTGAATCAATTTCTTGCATTTTAATCTCGGATGGGGGTTGTGTGGCCGCATGGTTATGTTCCATGCAGTCGCATGGTTCGAATTTTCTTTTTTTGTCATTTTAGTTCCAAAATTCAATCTTCTTGTTTCTTGACCTCTTTTCTTCGATTCTTTTGTTCCATCATCTCATGTTGACCTCCAATTGGTGCTTGGCACTATAAATTTTTCGATTGCTCCTTTGGCTCATCTTTTGGATATTTGCACTTTGGTCCATGAACTATCACTTTGATTCGTTTTGGTCCTTTTTGCTTCTTTTTCTCGTGAATTCCATCAAGTCTATCACTATACCCTACAATCCAACAATTGAACGAATTTAAGCCACAATTTAATTATTTTTCTCGTAATTTAGTCATGTTTGTGCATTTGAGAAGTGCACAAAAACGCACTTATCAACCACCTTTTTCAACATGTCTGCTAGATTCTCACTTGTGTTAGTTGTGTGGATCTTGACTAATCTCAATAATTGTCGATCCATCACCTCTCATATCCAATGATAACAAATGTCGATGTGCTTTATTTGAGAGTAACACATTGAGTTCTTACTCAAGTTCAGAGTAGTATGGCTATTACAAAGTACTTTGTAATCTTTCTGCTTGATTACTTGGTTCTTGAGGAAATAGCTTTAACCACAATATTTATTTATCAACTTTCGCTACTACAATATATTCTGTTTTTGTTGTGGATAACGCAACACACTCCTGTAGTCTTGACTGCCATGACACAGCTTCCCTTGTAAAAGTGTAGAGAAATCCTAAAGTAGATTTCTTGCCATATTTGAATCTGTATTACCTTCCAAAATTGGATCAACTCTCCCATATTACAAACATGTCTTTGATGTACTCTTGAGGTTCTTGAGAATCTACTTGACTACCTCACAATGTTCCTTTTTGGGATTAGGGAGAAAACAACTTACTATGCCCACTACATGAGCTATATCTGGCCTGGTACATACCATTGCATATATCAAGTTTCAACCCTTGATTGGTGACTTATTGGACTATGAAAAATTAATTTGACTTTGTAATTATACTCTAATCAAATTGATGCACTTACTTAGTCCATCACCAACCCTCTCATAATTTATTGTTTTACTATACCAACTTTAAACTTACCTCTTTCTTTGGGTAGTCCCAACCACCACACTTTTTAAATTCTACAATAATAATACAATGCTAATTTTCTGTTCTGCTTTTCATTTTTTTTTATCTATTTTATGTGTCAATAATAATATTGCAGGCACGCGCCACTCTGTAATGAGCATCTATTTATGTGGTATTAGATCATATTATTTTCAATTAGTCATAATTGTATCGTATTATTTTAATGAATTGAAGGTTGTGGAGTCGACTGTTAAATTGTCCTAATCATTTAGCTTTTATTTGAATCTCATTTTTCAAAATGAATTTTATAAAAAGTGAATTTTTTTTTTAAAGAGTGGTTAAAAGTAGAAAAAATTGATTTACATGCAATTTTTTTATTGGGAGATCTCATAGTTAAAAATAAATATGGAAGAAAATAAAATTTTAAAAAATGGATTCAAATATGGCTTAATAAAAAATTGCACACAAATATTATCTTCTTAAAGTATTTTTAATAAACTCTCTATTTATAAAGAGCATCGTATGTATAATAAAGAACATCTTTAAATTTAGAGAGTAAATTTTTTCTACACTTCAATCATACTTTCTATTTTGACTCTTTATTTTTTTTCAATGAATGTTGATTTCTCCTTATCTTATATTTAATATAATTTTTTATAAGTTAATGCTCAATCAATTCCAATGTGATTTGAATCATTTAAGTTGTAGAGTATTGATATTTATAAATTATTAAATACAATAATTGTTAATTAAAAATAAATAGTGGGTTTGAATAATCAAATTCATTCTTTATTTTAAAAGATTAAAATAATAGAGTATCTCTTGAAATTTATTTTTAAATATTGACTCTTTAAAATAGTAAATATTTTATGTTTAGAGGATCGATTGAAGATACTCTCGTGACTTTTAAATCTTTAATTAAAGTTAGGAATAAATGCCAAACATTAGCATTTAATATGTATCTAAACATCCTCCATTATTCTGACAATTACAATAGAACCTTATATTCGTCTCTTTCTGTCACCAACTTCCATCCCGTTATTGTAACATAGAATCCTTACCTGAAAATCCGGTAACCGGTCACAAAATTTTAGGTGGCAGTCCCACTCCCGCGTATAAATAGTGCCCTAAATCCTAGAGACCTCTGTCCTTGAGCCATTGTGCCTGCCCCTTTACTTGGCATTTCAAACAGACTCAGATCTGCATCATCTTAGAGGTACTATGCAATTGCTCTGTATATTATTTTTTTCTCTCTCTGCTTCGCTTCACGTATTACTAGGAATGTGACTAGATCTGGTGAGTCTGGACTTGACTTTTTTATTACTAGTCTATTTTTCACTCATTTTTTGCTAGTAGTATATTTAGGTGATTGTTTGAGCAGATTTTGACATGAAATATCATAGATCTAATTCTTAAATGTCGATTCATAATTTATGATGTTCTGTTTACTACTTCCTAGAAGCAAAAAGGCGGTTGATTGCCAGATCTGATTTATTGTAGGCTAAAGCCACTGTGATCATGTTTGTTATTCCTCTATTTATTTTTTTTGGCCTTAGTGTTGATATTCATTTTTATTACGTCGTCAACATTTATTAATTTACATCTTTCGAAACTTGTGAAATGATTAATCTCACTTGGAACGTGTGAAATACTATGGAGATATATGTTAAATTTGTGGAAGTGAGTTCTGAGGTTCTTGCTACTCTTGAGAAGATTTAAGTAAGAACGAAAGAATATTGTTTTGCACTTGGCGGATGATGCAATTTAGGTAGAATAAATTGAAATATTCTTCCGAACTACTAATAACAGCTTCTTAGTTGATACTTTTAAATCATTCATTCCTTTATGCAAGTGGAAAATCATTTTTATTCCTTTGATTTGGATGATATCTTTTATATCATGCAATTTATTTTGGAATATCACTCTTCGTTGTTCCCCTCCTTTATCTCCTTCTAGAATTGGATTTAATTAAATAAAAAACTCCGTTGGTTTTATTGACTTTTTATGAAGCTTGAAGATGTTTATTTGAGATTCTCTTCGAATATAGAATTCTTTGCATTGCAATGAGGCATATTATGTATTGTAGTTCTGGAATCAATGGTTCCTGAAAGATAAAATTTTCTACACATTATTCAAAGGAATCTAATTTATTTATATGTAGAGATGCTAATTGAACTTATGCTTAATACTCATGGCTCTGCTTGTTTATTTTGTAGTGAAACAATATGGAAACCTTCCTGTTTACATCCGAGTCTGTGAACGAGGGCCACCCTGACAAGTTGTGTGACCAGATCTCCGATGCTGTTCTTGATGCCTGCCTTGCTCAGGACCCCGATAGCAAGGTTGCTTGTGAGACATGCACTAAAACAAACATGGTCATGGTATTTGGAGAGATCACCACCAAGGCTGACGTAGACTATGAGAAAATTGTCCGTGATACTTGCCGTGTCATTGGATTTGTCTCTGATGATGTTGGCCTGGATGCTGACAATTGCAAGGTCCTGGTCAACATCGAGCAGCAAAGCCCGGATATTGCCCAGGGTGTTCATGGTCACTTCACAAAGAGACCAGAGGAGATTGGTGCTGGAGACCAAGGTCACATGTTTGGATATGCCACAGATGAGACGCCTGAGTTGATGCCTCTGAGCCATGTCCTTGCTACCAAACTTGGGGCTCGTCTCACTGAGGTTCGTAAGAATGGTACCTGCCCTTGGCTAAGGCCTGATGGTAAGACACAAGTCACCGTTGAATACTACAATGACAATGGTGCCATGGTTCCTGTTCGCGTCCACACAGTCCTCATTTCTACCCAGCATGACGAGACTGTCACAAATGATGAGATTGCTGCTGACCTCAAGGAGCATGTTATTAAGCCAGTTATCCCCGAGAAATATCTTGATGAGAAGACCATTTTCCACCTCAATCCATCGGGCCGCTTTGTTATTGGTGGTCCCCATGGCGATGCTGGTCTCACTGGACGTAAGATCATCATTGATACATATGGTGGCTGGGGAGCCCATGGTGGTGGTGCTTTCTCTGGAAAGGACCCAACCAAGGTGGACAGAAGTGGTGCCTACATAGTTAGGCAGGCTGCCAAGAGCATTGTGGCAAATGGACTCGCTAGGCGGTGCATTGTGCAGGTCTCATATGCTATTGGCGTTCCAGAGCCTTTATCAGTTTTTGTGGACTCTTATGGAACTGGAAAGATTCCTGACAAGGAAATCCTCAAAATTGTGAAGGAGAACTTTGACTTCAGGCCTGGAATGATCACCATTAACCTGGATCTCAAGAGAGGTGGCAATGGTAGGTTTTTGAAGACAGCTGCATACGGGCACTTTGGAAGAGATGACCCTGACTTTACCTGGGAGGTTGTGAAGCCCCTTAAGTGGGAGAAACCTGAAGCGTGAAAATAATCAATTTAGTAGTTGCTTGGTTGATGTTTACTTAAAGTGAATGAATAATTTACTTGTTTTACTATTGCTGCTTTATATTTGGAAGAACCTTATGATTGAAATACGTTTACAAATGGGATTATATTTGTTACTTCTTCATCGTAATTCAATCATCTGTTCTTTGCCAGTTAATTTCCCTTCAGCTTCCCCCCACTCCACCTACCCAAAAATTAAATTAATGCAAATTTCGCCCAGTGAATACTTCAATGTTTACAAACTGAACGCTACTGGTAGGCGTAAGTGATATAAGCTAGATTTAGTAGTTGCATCCATATAATGTTGAACTTGCGAAGTTACTAAATCCTCTATTCGTAGTGCGAAAACTAGAGAGGTATTTGCAGTATAACTCTACCCTTACTCCATTGTGCAAAACATAAGTTGGGAGTTGGTCGACAAGAATTACTGCGCACCTGTCTCCATCTCTTCCCATGGAGATACAACCCAAATCCCCACATCCGTTCAACAAGCACTTTTCAGCACCAGGCATGTAAGAAATATTTGAGGGCCTTGGATTTGGTTGTTAGTGAATCAATGTTCTGTAATCGTGCTTAAATAGGTTTGATGAAATGCTCTAAGTCGAAATGAATGCTTGTGATGCAGGAGGAATTTCCAGGGGTTAAATAATGCATAATAAGTGGGATGATTCCTGCAGAGAACTTAAATAGCAGAGTAGCACAAGAAGAACAAGAATTCCAACAAGAAGACGAAGAAGAGGGTAGCAAGAAAAGGGGTGGGGGTGGAGGGAGAAACTGGAGAGAAAGGGGGGAAAGAGAGGGGAGGGAAGAAGGAAACGGCTGCAAGCCAAAACAACTTCCATTCTAATTCTTCATCGTCTTCTTGAAATTACATTACCAAGCCTTATAAATAGAGAAACCAATAAATCTAAAAAGTAAATGGGCTTGGGCCAAACCCAATAATACAAGCCCAATGAAATAAAACAATAGTAAATGATCCACAAGAAAATAAACTAGCCTAAACAAGTGATATCCTTATCAACTCTCCCAGGGTGGGAGAAAAACTCGACTCTGTCGAGTGATTGAACTTGTACCAAGGGGGACAAATTTTCGTAAGAATCGAAAATCGAAACTCAAGCTTGATATAGAGTTGTAGCTTTTCTTTGACAATCCATGTGCAATCAAAATCAGGCCGATTTACTCAACAAGCATTGAGCTTCGAATCTCTCTATCATAGGTCAACACAATCTATTCATCTAAAATAACATCAATTTTATCTTTGTGTACTGTGATAGGAGGATTGAAGTAGGCATAGTAAAAAATTCAGTGTAGGAGTTCTCATGTGGAGGTAGAAATGGATCAGCAAAGGGGTTAAAATAGCATTTGTAAGTGACGAAGGGGTTGAACTTCTACCAAGGGGGACAATTTTTCGTAAGAATCGAAAATCGAAACTCAAGCTTGATATAGAGTTGTAGCTTTTCTTTGACAATCCATGTGCAATCAAAATCAGGCCGATTTACTCAACAAGCATTGAGCTTCGAATCTCTCTATCATAGGTCAACACAATCTATTCATCTAAAATAACATCAATTTTATCTTTGTGTACTGTGATAGGAGGGATTGAAGTAGGCATAGTAAAAAATTCAGTGTAGGAGTTCTCATGTGGAGGTAGAAACGGATCGGCAAAGGGGTTAAAATAGCATTTGTAAGTGACGAAG